ACGCAAAGGTGTTTCTATATTTTTCACAACCTCATCAGACACACCAGTTCATCCAGAAATCTTGCCTTTATGCACGCTTCTTGTCGCAGAAGTTTATTTCAATAGCAGAAAATGTGTTTAGAAAAGGTGTAGTCTTTGAAAAACTGTTTTAATGATAATTTACGTAAAAAAAAACAAAAAAATTATCAAAGGTTATTTCTTCAAACAAATCCCGCTTCTCTGAGAAATTAAAAAAATTGATTTTGCGAACTTTTATTTGTGTTTTATACATTAAAACAAATATGGATAATACCAGTAACAGTGTAAGAAAGTAAATGACATCCTATAAATATGTTTAACACCCTAATTTTTTTTGTGTTTGTCTACCACATCCGACTTTTTTTAATGACATCCTATTTATATTTTTAGAGATTGTTATAGAGCTTCTTTTTCTGAATTCACTAAAGTATCATAATTTAATCACCCAAATTCCGCGCTGTCTATGATTCCAAAGCATTATGTTACGAAAACGCACGTTGTTAACTTAGGATACATTAATTTCCGCAATTTTTCAATTTCGTATTTTTTTTATTTTTCAGCAAAAGAACAAATTTATCTAAACTAAAATATTGGAAAATTGTATCATTGAAACAATGATATAAAATTCAAAATCACAAATCTAAAAATTTCAAATTGAAAATCGAAAAACTAAAAAACCGAGACACCGAAAAATTGAAAAATTGTAAAAGCATGGAAAAATTAAAAATAAAGCTGCAAAATCGAATAATTCAAAAATTGTAAAAATCCCGAAATTGAAACATCAAAAAATCGAAAAAGGAAACAATTTTGCAATTTTTCAATTTTAAAGTTTTCAAGTTCTAGATTTTCAATTTTAATCAAAATGAAATTTTGCAAAATCGAATAACTGTAACACCGAAACATTAAAAAATGCAACAATTAAAAATCGAGAAATTGAAAAATCGACAAAACGAAACAATTCTGCAATTTTTGGATATAAAATTTTTCTCGATTTTTCATTTTTCAATTATTCAACAAAAGAACAAATTTATTCAAACCTAAATTTTTAAAATGAAAAGATTGAGAAACTGAACAATGGGATAATTGAGAAATCGAAAAATTGTAATATTGAAACCTGAAAACCCTGATTCATTAAAAATCGAGAAAGTGAAAAATTGAAAAAACGAAAAACAAAAACTTCTATAAATTAAATAATCAAAAATACAAAAAAAAATTTCAAAATCCAAAATTTTAAAATCAAAACCGGAAAACTAAAAAATTAAGAAATTGTAAAAACGAAACTTGGAAAAATAAAAAAACTGTAACACGGAAAAAACGATATACTGAAAAACCGAAAAATCTAAAAGTTGAGCAATCGAAGATTTGAAAAAATACAGAAACTGAAAAATCTGATAATGGAAAAGCCAAGAATTGTACACTTGAATAATAAAAACCCTAATAAGTAATAATTGTTTAAAAAAAGTGAAAAATTAAAAATCGGCAAATTTAAAAATGAAGCAATTAGAAAATTGTAAATTAAAAAAAAAGCTTAAAAATGGAAAAATTGAAAAAAATTGGCAAACTGAAAATTGGGTAGCGAAAAAAGCAATTAAAACATGGAACAACTGAGAAACAGATAGAAACTGCAAAATCGAAAATTTGTAATATTGAAACCTGTAAAAGTAATTAATTAAAAATCCAGGAATTGAAAAATCGAAGAAACGAAAAATTGTAAAATGCAACAGGTAGAAAATCGAAAAATTAAAAAGCAAATTAGAAAATCGAAAAATTAAAATATCTACTAATTAAAAAATCGAAAAATACAAAAATTTTACTGAAAAATCCAACAATTTCATAATGAAAATCTAAAAACTAAAAAATGGAGAAATCGAAAAATGTAAAAACGAAACACGGAAAAATCGAAAAATTATCAATTAAAAAAATGAAAAATATAAAAGTCTCGAATTGAGAAAATAAAAAGTCGAACAAACGAAACTTGGAATTACATACTTGGAAGCACTTTATTTCTGATTTTTCATTTTCTCAATTGTTCGTTTTTTAATTTTTCAACAAAAGGACAAAGTTATTAAAAGTGAAATTTTAAAAATTCAAAAAATCGGAAAATTGTAACACAGAAGCATCGAATAATTTTAAAATTGAGAAATCGAAGAACTGCAAAAATAAAGAAACTCAAAATCGAATAATTAAAGAGGTCAAGAATTGGACAAGCAAAAATTATAACTTGAAAAAACTGAAAATTTAAAAAACAGAAAAATCGAACAATTGCAAATTGTGAAATACCTAAATGTTGAAAAAATAGCGAATCTAAAAAATCGGATAACGAAAATATCAACAATTAAAAAATTAAAAATTAAAAATATATACCTTAAAGTGGAAAAATCTAAAAAACGAGAAACTGTCAAATCTAAAAATTATAACATTGAAACCTGAAAAAACTGACGAAATAAAAACAAAAAATTAAAAATTGCAAGAACTCCAAAATAAAAATCGAAAAACTGAGAAATCCAAAAATCGAAAAGCTAAGAATCTTAAAAACTTCAAAAATCGAAACGAATAAACAAAAAATGCTCAGACCACAGACCACACAGATGAAAGCAATAATATTCGACTTTGGGCCAGTTTGGATTTAGCACCGATGTACTTTCTTGTGATTGGTCAGCACGGGTGCGGAAATTAATGTATGCTTGTTAATTTGTTGTTATTTCTTCTGGACTGCACTTCTCCTTCACCCATGATAGAAAACAGATGAAGAATTGCTATAAAAATATTATTTCATTTATAAAAAGGAAGGTTATGCTCGTGTTTGTAGTGAGTGTAACACTAAAAATAAAAAAATTCGGTGTATTGTTTTTGATTGAATCAATAAAAAAAGTTGGAAATGTTGTTCGTACTCTAGGGGTTAGGAAGTGTTCAGAAAACATTAAAGTAGCCATTCGTTTGATCAATAAAAAATACATTAATAGAAGTAATAGTAAGCCATATTCGAACGTGCGCGATTTTCGCGTTAAGCTAACGAATAATCTTATACTAGTATTTCGATTTTTTGCGAAAATTTGGATTTCTGAAAATCTCAAGGCGGGTTCATAAGCAGAAAGTATAAGAGTGTGTTATTTTATAAAATTTAAATCCTACTTGCTATAAAAAATTTTAATGGGTTGCCATCACATTGTTGGTAGGGGTGATTAGGCAAATTTTGGTTAGCATTTTACCATCTACACGATATTCCTAACGTATACAAGATGCTGAAAAAATGGCGTATCAACTCAACGGTACATTATTAAGTTCACAAATCTAAGTTCGGGAAAAATCATTAAAAAATTCCTTACGTCAATTTAACGTTCACTTACAGCAAGAAAATATCGATTTAAATAAATCAAAATAATTTAAAAATTAGCCACACTTTTCCAATTCATCCTAAACAATTTTTAAGTTTTTTGTTATATTATAAAATGAAGAAAACTCTGAATGAAAACAAGATAACTCCAAAATTATTTTAAATAATAATGGAAGTCTAACTGATTTCATGTATCCAACACTAAGTAGTGAGTTAGAACATGGTGAAATATTGAAAATAAAAGTTAAATTTTAAAGGGCTATATTTTCTACTATTGTTTAAATTATTTTTTCTTTCTTCTATAAACAGTCCTCAACAACGTATCATAGAGTTGGTACGCCATTTTTTCAACACCCTGTATATATAAAATGTAATAATAATCGGTCCGGTAGCTTTGGCACCAGACAGACAGACAGACAAACAAACAGACGGAAACGGGGGACCTCTTTTTTCGTACTAAGGGTCATGAAACGTCGATAAAACATGAAAGTAGCTGCCAAATAACAATAACAACCTTACATTGGTGAAATAGTAACTGCTTTAGAACGGTAACGGCGTAACACACACGATCCAGTGACAAGTTATGTACAAATTGTGTGGATGTTCCGCATACCGTTGAGCAGGGATTTGAGTATTCCATACACCAGTGGCAAACAAACCAAGTCTTTTTTAAGCAGCTTACTGGGATTTGAATATTCGAGTGCATAAGCGGGTGTTAAGGATGAAACATAATATACTGAGTTTGCTTTTATTTTATTTTATTATTATAAATTTTATTAAAATAGAGCAACCGTTTTATGCACTTCTTCACTATTAGAGCATGGTCGATTCATTTCTTCCAGTTATATATAGCATATATAATGTATACTCCACTGGGATTCGTCCTTCAGAGAGATTTATTACTCGTCGTCGTTTGAAAACAAGCTCTAAATAAATCTTATTCCCCTACCCATAATTTAACTTTGTCTATTCAGATTTTCCTAAAAAATAACAATTATTTGTACAATTAAATTCTACAGTTTGTCTTGGAATATTTTAATTTTTGTTTCAGTATATATATGCTGAGAGATATAAAACTTGTTACATTTTTTTACTGATAAATACGCTCTGAAGTGCATTGTTTTTTTTTTAAATTATTATCTTCTATGATATTATAAAGCTTGCCTATTTTTGAACTGGTTGCTGGCAATGTCTAATTCATAGAACCTTTGTTCCTTTCAGGAAAGCACTCGGTTGTAAATAATTTATTCGTGGCTTTTAAACAGTAACTTGATATAATAACAAACAAATATTTGTTTACTCAAAACTCTAATTTTCTTTTACCACTTCATTTTAATTTTGAAAAATTGCCGCACCAAAGACTGTTTAATGTGTTTGTCTGCAACAAATTTCGTTGTTAGAGTATTTTAAAAAGTGACAATTCTACAAAACTTTATCTATAACCTGTTTAGGAGCTCTAATTTTTTCAAACTACTCTCCGAGTGCCCTAATCCATATCCCCAGCCGCTCCGCCCGATCGTCTCGGCGCCGAACGCGGAAAAAGCCGCCAGTCTGCAATCAAACCGTTATGCGTCTCATTACGCTAATTAAATTTCACTCCCGTTTCTAAGTTTTTGGATTTTTCACAAATCGCCCATTCGGCTTGCAGGTAGCCTCCTCAGTCGCATCATCGTCGTCGCATCATGCTGAAGGAGCGCGAGTCCATCGAACGCACGATCTCTTCGCCTTGCTCCAGCCTCGGTGGCGCATCAACCATCGACGGCACCACGTGTGCCGGCTGCGGAGGAAGAATACAAGACCGGTACTACCTCCTGGCTGTCGACAGACAATGGCATGCTTCTTGTTTGAAATGTTGCGAATGCAAACTGCCTCTGGATACCGAGCTGACTTGTTTTGCCAGAGATGGCAATATCTACTGCAAGGAAGATTACTATCGGTGAGTTTTTGGAGTGGAGGAGTGTGTGGGGTGGAATGGGTGTGTGCTGGTTGCTATGAGATGCTTTAAGATGGATTATTTACAAACTTTTTTCATACGCTATTTGCACTGTATTCCAAATTTTTCTTACTTTACTTTACTACCAAGAAAGTATCAGTATTGGTATTTTTGTGATGGAAATATTTACTTTCTGGTAGTATTTATTTCTGCTGTAAAATGCCACTATTCGCACTAACAGTGCCTAAATTAAGGAAAATTTCCAACTGCACAACTGCACAATCTTTAATCCCCCTTCTGTCCTCTATACTACTACCCCCCTACACCCTCCCCCACATTAAAATGAACTATGATTTTGTCGATTTTGTGAGAATACCTGCACCATTAATAATAAATAAATAATAGCAAAACGCAATTCAAAATAAATATATTGTAAAGATATAAACAAAATTTTAAAATAGTCATAATACAGACACTATTAATACGTATGTCACTATTTAAAGGTAGATCACAAAAGTTTGTGTGTTGTCTTCCCAAAACAGAGGACTAAAATAATTAATTAAGCCACAATCGAACAAAATGTTCTGAATTTTATTATTATAATTCTTATTTTGTCATTATTAAATAAAGATTTACGTATTCTGATATTTTTGAGAAAATGGGGTGACACGTTCTTAATTTGATCAATACAAAATTTGTGATGACGCCAATAACGTAAATAATACTTGTCATAGCACAAAAGAAAATTAGTCGACTCCGCAAGTAGGACTGATAAATTTTTGTTGTGCACTTTTTCGAAATCTCTGAGACAAAATGTTATTGTTAAGCAGGTACGTGCCAGATCGAATGCAGCACATCTGGGGTTTCTTGAGGTTCCAACTTGACAAACAAAATCATAAAAATTCTTCGATTCTTTTCAGTGAAAGGATGAACCGGCGTCAATGGTAGTACGAGTAACTTACGATCGGGACGTAAAAATATTATTAATGTAAAAAAGCTACTACACAAATTGCAATTTCCAGCTGCACAAATGCATTTTTGAACTGCACAAAATGTGTAGAAGTGCACATTAATTTAGGCCCTGCGCACTAAGGTAGAGCAGTGAATTTATGTCTAGAGTGTGATGAACTTCATTGTTGTGGTAGTCTTCGTCAACTCCAAAATTTATATGAACTACTAGTATGCATTATAAAAATAACAAAATTTTGTTGATTAATTTCAAACTTTTCATTTAAAGATCAGTGAATAGGTATTATTTATTTATTTAAAAGTGTTTTTCGATGTTTTTTTTTTAACTATCTTATCGATTTTTAGGTCAGTAGAATGCTAACAATAAGTTTAATGTGAGTAACGAAAACTCTGATCTCTGCAATTTTTTTAATTTTAAAAATTCCTATAACTACCAGATTCTCAAATCAAATACATATGTCGAATTTTTAGTAATACCAAAAACAGATACTTATAGAAAGGTTAGAATTTTGGTGTCTATAAACTTCTAATCAAATCACAAAAACGTCCAAAATATATAACATATTCATAATTTGTTTTTTTTTATTTCAGTGTTTGTATTGATGAGGCGGTTACTTGTTTAAACTCCATATTAATATTATAGTAAAAAACTTTAAAGAGTTTAAATGATTTATTAGTAGGCACTGCTACACGTGTTTCGGTGCACAGTACCGTCTCCAGGCAGATTTTTTTTTACTTTAATATTATGATTAAAAATCTCGGAATTCAAAAGGATCTATAATTTTAGAGATACCAAAAATTCTATAGGTTTTAGAGATTAAGAGTTCAGAAAAATTCATAATTTTGAAGAATTTAAGGATACTAAATTTCGACATTCTTGAGGTTCTAGAAATTTTACAGATTATAGAACTCCCATAAAAGCTTTTATTGATTTCAGGAATTCTGAAAATTTCGAAAATTTCAATTACTCTGAATATTTAAGAGATTTTAGATTTTATAGATTATAGAAACTTCATAGACTCTAGAATTTCTCTAAGAGTTTTCACTAGTTTCATGCATTTTGGAAATTTCAATGTTCTATAAACTGAAATTTTCAAGAGAGTATTTTAGAGATGTTAAAGAATATAGGGGTTAAATTACATTTTTTTAGTATATTTGACACTCCCATAACTTTTGGAAATTTTAAACATAAGAGGTTATTATAAATAAATTCACAGATGTGAAAATCTTTTCAATTTGAAAAAATTCTAAAACTTTTGACACCATCAGAAATTATACAGATTTTCATGATTTAGATGTATGAAATAGTTTATAAATTTTGCGATTATGGAGATTAAAAAGATTAAATGATTGCAGTGATATTAAAAATTCTGAAGGTTCTAAAAATTCTATAACGTTTGACATTTTGGAGATTCTATAAATTTTCAAGATAGCAAAAATTCAATAGACACTAGAACTCTTATAAATTACATAAATTGGAAGGTTTATGATCAATTCAGACAAGTACTATATTTACTAAACACAAAAAATGAAAAATATACAGTGAATCAACAATGACATCCTCCTTTGATATTTCCTTAAAGTTATTTATTCAGAATTTTAGATAACTTTAGCATTTTTATTTTCTGTGCGTAAGCTATTACAAAAAATATTGTACTTAATAGGGTTCATTCATCAAACGGCTATTTTCATGTTTTGTAAACTGAACATTTAAGAGATCATTTTAGAGATTTTAAATTTGATATATTACAGAAACTAAGAGTTTTCACTAATTTCAAGCATTTTGAAAATCTGAAATGTTCTATAAACTGAAATTTTTAAGAGAGTATTTTAGAGACGTTAAAAAAGATAGGGGTTAAATTACACTTTTTTAATATAGGTATTTGGAACTCCATATCATTTGGAAATTTTAAACATAAGAGGTTTTTATAAATAAATTCACAGACGTGAAAGTTTTTCCAAATTTTCATTATTCTAAAACTTTTGACACCATCAAAAATTCTACAGATTTTCATGATTTAGATGTATGATATAGTTTATAGATTTTGCGATTATGGAGATTAAAACTGTTAGAAATTTCAGTACTTTTGGAAATTTCAGGAAAATTTACAATTTTTGAAAATTTTAAAAACTCCAAGGGTTGTTCAAGTGCTTACAGACTGCAGAAAATAAAAAATGTTTTGAGAAGTTTGTAAATAAAAATAATTAAAACTTTGAATATTTTAGAAACTTCATTGCTCTCAGTAATTTAGAAATTTAAAAAATTCAATGACTGCAGTCATATTAAAAATTCTGACGGTTCTAAAAATTCTATAACGTTGGACACTTTGGAAATTCTATAAAATTTCCAAATCGCAAAAATTTCATGTAGGTACTATGTTTTATAAACAGAAAAAATTAAAAATATACACTGAATCAACAAAGACATCCTCCTTTGATATTTCCTTAAAGTTATTTATTTACAATTTTAGATAACCTTAGCATTTTTATTTTCTATGCGTAAGCTAGTATTGTACTTAATAGAGTCCATTCATCGAACGGGTACTTTCATGTTTTCTCGAAGTTTCGTGAGGCCTAGATAATTACAAAATAGGTCTTCCATTTACGTCTATCTGTGGTATGTGTGTCTGACAGCGAATTTGCGAAAATATTGGACTGATTATTGTAAAGTTTTATAGGTGTTCAGGGATAATCGTATGGGGGGTCCTAAAACAATAACCAAAATGTCATCCCTCCTAACAATATGATGACGTCACTTCAGCATTTTACATGGTAAATGCTATTAAAATTTTATCAAATAACATGCTCCTGTACTTGTAGTTTATGAACTGGTTTTGATTTTTTTGTCCTAGGCACTTTGATTTTCACAAAAGAAATGAAAACTCTAACAAACATTTAACAGTTTAACTTAGTAACTGCAAAACCAAAATATGAAATTTTCCAACCGCTTTAAGGTTATCCTAAATTTAGTAAAACGTTAACCAATTTTTTTTAACCCCTCCAAAAATTTAAAGACGTCATTTTAAAATTTTGACCAAAAATTATCTAAAATTTGCAAAACATTATTAATCTTTATCAGTGCATTCATAATTTTTAAAATTGTTTGTACAGGATGGTGCTTTACTTCTGGCATTTAATTGACAGTAATGAGATATGTATCAATAAATTAAAAGCAATTGTTTGAAATTGGAATTAATAAAAATAAATGTGACAAATTTAGGTGTAAATAAATAATTTGAAGTTAAGAATGTATGTTGTATAAATAATTAATTTCTAAATATACACAGTAGTGTCCAGTATTGTAGTACAACCTGGATTAGCATTTTTTTAAAATAGCTTAAATAAATTTTAGCTGTCTGTTTTGAAAAAAAAAATTAAAATAATAATGTACCTATAGTTTAAAATTCGCAATTTTAGGACAATTCAAATACCAAAATTTACAAGTAGAAGTGGATATCTAATACAAATGTCATTTAAAATAATAATATGTACATCAGGCTACATATTTCAAATAAATTTATTTCTTTAGAAAAGAAGTTAAGTAGTGTGCAATATATAGTATACGTATGATAAAATTATCATATATTATCAATAACAACTAGAGATGTACCGACTGTAGGTCTGGCCGACTAACCGACTAGCCGATTGTTCGGCCAGTAAAAACCGACTAGTCGGCCGACTGTTCGGCTTTGCTAAAACCGGTTTATAAATGCGACAGACAATGTGTTTTTTTTTCTATTTCTCTGACTACATTAAAAATTTGTTTTATTTTAATAAAAGGAACAACTAAAGTTCTTTTGTTTTCCAAAAAATGTATTAAATTTGTTTGGATAATTTTAAACTTTAATTTTTTTTAGTAACTCAGTACAAAAATAAAGAATAACACAATTTAGGGCCAGTTTATATATAACAATATTTTAACTGAGATTGAGTTGACCGCGCATTTAAGAAGGCCATTAGCGACGTCTGATTGGCGTAGAGTCGGTCACATGATACTTTAAGGCGGGGTTAAAAATTAAATCGCAATTAAATAT